AGGAACAAGCTGAACCCGACGGCACTGATGAAGCCGAAAAGGTTTGTGCTCAAACGCTAACGTTGTTACATGCATAATCGTTTCAACAGAGAGTCATCAAGTACTCCTCAGTTTCAACGAGCAAACGAGTGCTTTCTGTTTAGAAGCGTTCTTAATTTCAACATATGTATTCGTTCTGGAACAGATCGTTGAACTCAATACATGAATTCAATGATCCGTTCCGGAAAACCTGACTAATGACAATATTTTAAACTCTCCACCAAGTGAAGAACCATTTATCCATCAGAGTATGCTGGCCTTGAGGGGTGATACTCCGGATTTGCACATTGCATATTTCGCAGTTTCGAACCAGAAAATGTGATTACATGTATCTTCTTCAGAAACTCAATGAGAATCTGTCAATACTTCAAGCAATTATCACGTTTGAAAGCTATATTCAATTGAGACAGTGAAAATTCAGGCGGCTGCGATGTACGGAGTAGAAACGGATGTGTTTCTGAAGGCATTCACACGTCCACGAGTGAAGGTTGGCACAGAATGGGTGAATAAGGGTCAAAATATGGAGCAGGTGCAGTGGGGTGTTGGTGCGATGGGTAAGGCCATCTACGCACGTGTTTTTCATTGGCTCGTCAAAAAATGCAATGAAACGTTGGATCAGAAAGGTGTGGACAGAGATCACTTCATCGGAGTGCTTGATATCGCTGGATTTGAAATTTTCGACGTGAGTTTATCGCATCCATTTGAGCAATTTCTTCGTGTGAATATTTTTGTATCGTACATATTTCATTTAGTAATTAGTAAAAGAATACATAAAATATATTTCATTTTTTTAATAAGAAATTATGAATGGAATGAAATATATTACATATTCTTTTTATGTACAAAACAAAATATGTTGATTGAATCCTTTGATTAGGTAACGAATGAAATATGGTATGCATATCANNNNGTGTATCGTGTAGTTTTGAAAAAATCGCCTTTCTAGATTATTGTTTGAATCAGATTGAGAGTAATAAGAATAGTACAATTTGTTTCTTTGTTGATCATGATATCAAGGTGATTATAATAACTGATCAGTGGCATTTGTCTCTTTGATATCATAGAGTATCAATTCTGTTTTCGATTTGGATGTTCCCGTCAGGTCATCAACAGTATTTCTCATACGTTCCTCTTTCCAGCTGTTTTCAGTGATATCGCATGAAAATTACCGTCCAGTGTAACGAGCACACTCACCATGTTATCTGAAAATATATTTCACGGAAGGATGAAATATATTCATCGAAAAGCATCTTTCAATTTTTAGAAGGACACCATAAATACGGTTGTTTATGTGAGCGAAAGAAATTTCAGTGAAGTTGTCTACGCATGAATATTACGCACTAATGAAGCATCTTTATTAAGCTTCACGAAATAACGAATTTCAGCTCAATTCCTTCGAACAACTCTGGATCAATTTTGTGAACGAGAAA